GGCACTGTTCAAGATGGTCTCTGCAGAAGTTGCCATGAAACCACCAACAGAGAGAGGAGTGTCATCCTCCACTACACGCAAGTTATGTGGCTCCACAACAGTAGATATTGGAATAGAAGAAGAATAAGATGAACAGGACAGGGCACAATTGTACACCTTGCAATAACTTTAGACACAGACAACCACCACCAGCAGTGGGATTAGTTAACACAGGTCTATCATCCTCGTTATTAGTAGTGTCACTCTTCTTGTTGTTGTCTTCCTTGTAATTTGAGTTCACAGGTCTAATGGAAAAAGTGAGAATAATAAAAAGAAAAAGAAAGAGACACACATAGTGAGTGGATGCAGGACATAAATACTCACATTGGAAAAGAGAGAGAGAGAAGCAGGAACTGCACAGTAAAGCAACAAAAAAAATAACTCGCTTGTAGTGATAATATGTACCCCTTAATAGAAAAAAAGAGAAACCCCCACAATACCCAAATAAGAGAGAGAGCCAAACACACACACAATACCCCATGGCTCTAGTTTATGTATCAAATTACTGCACACACAAATCTGTGTGTACTAGCAAGAGATGTATACCGTCAGTGAGCAGAACAGCCCAGTTTTCTGCACACACAACGGGAAAACCAAGTAATGGAATTATTAGAAAAAGAACACACACACACATAAAAGTAAAAGAAAAGAAATTCGAATTAAAAGAGAAAGCTGGTAAACAGATTATTAGCTAGTTCATTCACTCATGGGGGATGTACGCAATTATGATTATTGCTAGTTTAACCATTATTATTATTTGTCCTCAGATGAGTTCCACCGTTCAGTACACAGTAAAAGAGAATAACACAGCCACAATCAATAGCGGTGCTGCAGTACGCATCCACACAGGATTGACACTGCTGTCAGCATTAGCCTTCTTCTGCATAATAGAGGCAATATTGCTGATCACTGCGTTAGGTGCAGGAGATACAGTGGTCGTGTTTGTATTTGGTGCTTCAGTGTTAGTGTTGTTGCTCTCTGCGGATGGAGCCGTGTTGCTCTCGTGTGATGTTGTATTTGTAGTGACACCAGCATCTGTAGGTGGTTGTTCTGTGGCATTACGCTCGTTGATATCAGTTACATTTGCGGTATTTTCAGATGTAGTTGTTGTTGTCGTTTTAGTGGCAGTTCTGTGATTTTCCGTCACTCCTGGTTGTTCTCTATTTATCTCAGTACCACCTGAAGCAGATAACGTATTCCCTGTAACGTTAACCTCTGTAGAAGTATCTTTGCTCGCTGCATTACCATCCATATTACTAACTTCTTTAGGCCCAATGTTTTCGTTTTTACTCTTAGAACTGGCAGCCTCAGGAATACCAACCTCAAGCTGCCCTGGAGACGTTGTTAGAGATGAGACAGTAGAAGGTGGGTGAGACACACCAGTCCCTGCATGGAGTGCTCCAACAACACTACCAGTGGGTGGTTGTGATGGTGCAACTGCTGTTAAAGAGGGACCAATTACATTCGTTGGAACTTCTTTCCGCGCCTCTAGCTCTTTGACTACAAGCTCTTCGTTCTCTTGAACTTGCTTCCTTTTTTCTTTTCTCTTTCTCCATAAGGTTGCATTTTCATGCGTTAAGTTTACCAACAAGTCCTTTGTAGCAATAGGAGCGTCAAGAAGTATCGCCATCACTGCCTTTGGCTGTCCTGCACTAGTAGTAGTACAAGCAGCAGCCGTCATGGTATACCCGCAGGCACAGCACAGCACAACGGCCAACACACACATCATACGGCGCATCATCATTATCATGAGAGAGACAAGGGGTTTGGTTTCACGTAAAAACACTGATCTAAAAAGAAAAAAACAATCAAAAAGCAAAAAAAGAAAATAACTGAAGTATCAAACATGTTAGGACACACAAATCGATTACCACTATGGAAACTCACATCGTGAAAGTAAAACCTACCAGTTAAAGAATGCAATACAGCGCCATAACCTCAGTAAGAGTAAAAACAAAAAAAAGAATGCCCACACTCACAAATATCTCAAAAAAGACTGAACCACCCAGCAAAATCATAAGCAAAGAAACAGATATTCATCATTAGCCCAATTTACCAAGTAAACACAAAAATATACACCAACTATGGGTGTAAGTCTATATATGTGTGTGTATATACGCAATTATAAATATAAATTCATCTGTTATTATCATTTCTTTTTCCTCCCACTGCAAAAAGCAGTTCATCATTATTATCACAGTACAAGCCCAGGTGCACACACAGAGAGAGAGTCTCCAAGAACACACACACACACACACACAATGGAGTAGCAATAATAATAATTATAGGATAAACACAAAGAGCAAAACAACACAATAACATTAAGAAACACAAAAGAAGAGAATCCCAACAGGTGGAAGATTAGTTAGACTGTAGAGATGTATGCAAAAAAAGAAAAAGAAAACAAAGGATGACCTGAGTCACACCATCACCACCACCATTACAATCAGCACACAAGAATACAGGCCAGTGTAACCACAATCAGTAGTGATACACGCACCCACACAGAACTGCTGATACTGCTGCTGTCTGCATCACCCTTCACATTTGGCATTATGGTGTTATTGCTGATTCCAGGTACAGGAGGAATTGTATTGGTGTTGGTGGTGGTGGTAGTTGAGGTTGAGTCCTCGTTACTGGTGGTATTGAGAGTGACAGAGTCCGTGTTCGCTGTGGTGTTCCCTTCTGCTGATGCACCCACAGTATTGACACCATTTGTTGATTCATTCTCTGTAGTTGTCACATTATCAGTGGTACTGTTGGGCTCTGTGCTCGTGTTGTTTAGTGTGTTTGAATCATCAGTAGATAGACCAGATTGAGTTATTTCACTAGGTGATGCATCTCTAGTAGGATGTGGTTTTGAGTCAGCAGTAACGTGTGATTCTGTACTTGTTGTACTTGTGATATTTGTTTCTGTATTGTGGTTATCTTGTTGTTGAGGACCTTGTGTGGTTTCCTTTATCTGTTCTTGTTGCCCCTCAGTTCTCCTCTCACCTGACTCACTGGGTACTGGTTGCTTCTGCGTATTCTCTGTTTGCTCTGTCAACTGACTAGGCTTTTTGATACTGACATCTTGTACAGTACGAGAATGAGATACAGCAGGTTCTGGTTGACTTTCATTCCCACGACCTTGGACTTTTGATCTGTCACCCGACTCTCATTTCACCTCCTTTTGCTTATTTTCTTCCAACTCCTTCTCACCCTGCGCAACACCACTATCAAGTTTAGTATTATCCGGGGATTCTTCATGATGTTTCGCAAGCTTATTAACTTCAGAAGACACATCATGTTGGCCAACACCATGACTACCCTGGGCCTTTATACCACCTTGACGACTAGATGGAAGATCATCACGTGTAGTTGAAAGAGATGTACCAGAAGAACCCGCAGCACCAAATTGTG